TATCTTTTGGCTGTTCACCGCCTTGAGTCCTTCGGGAGTAGCGCGGTATATAAATTTAATAAATAAATAAATAAATAAATACATACATACATACATACATACATACATACATACATACATACATAAAAAAAATAATATGATCACAATTGTTGATATTCCCTGACACAGTGGTGGGTTTCAAAATTTTTTACTACCAGTTCTGCGGGTGTGGCTTGCTTGGTGGGCATGGCTTGGTGGTCATGTGACTGAATGGGCATGGCCAATTTGACATCATTCACAGCTATGACCAGTCACATGACCATCCCACTTAGCCATGCCCACAGAAAAAGGTAGGAAATTTTTTTGAATTTCTACCTATCTACTTATTTTCTGCATAGGCCTGGCCTAATCTATCAAAGGCCTCCCCTGGCATGCTGCCCCACCCTCCCTTCACCAGTTGCATGCCTCGCCCTGTTTCCCCTCCTTCAGCAGCCCCGACCCTAGCCCCACTTCCTCACCCATCACCGCCTCTTTCTTCGGGCTGCTTACGTTCCTCCTCTGGTGGCTGGTCTGGAGTCTGGAAGGCAAGCTGACCTCCAGTAGTTTTCTGCGGCCTCCAGCCAGCTGCCACTGCCGGGAAATGGCTGGCAAAGAGGTGGCAGCTTGGAGGCTTCTCACAGTCGCATTGAAAAAGAAAAAGCCTTCTCTTTGAGAGCTGCTTTGTGGCTGTGGCGGCAGGCTGCAGGCCACCAAAAACTACCGGAAGTCGCTGAAAAAACTGCTGCTGTTGCCGCCCTGTTCTTCACACCAGCCACACATGCATATCCCATTGCCTGCTGCGTCCCACTTGGACTGACACAGCAGGCAATGAGATGTGTCACTCCGAATGCGATGCAGCAGGCAATGGGATTTGATGGCAGTTGCTTTTTCGTCGACCTCTGGTAGCTTTTGGCGGCCTGTGGCCAGCCGCCACAGCCGCAAAGCAGCTCTCAAAGACAAGGCCTTTTCTTTTTCGATGTGACTGCAAGAAGCCTCCCAGCCACCGCCTCTTTGCCAGCCTCTTCCCAGCAGTCGTGCAGGTGTGCAGGGCAAACAAGCGGTGCCAGGCTACCGGTTCGGGGGCATGGCCAGCCAGAGGTCGCTATCGGTTCAGCGACCCAGGCCAAATTATTGTTACTGGTTTGCCCAAAATGGTGCGAACTGGTAGAAACTCACCATTGCCCTGACAGCTTCCCACATGAAAAGTCAATGTTTTTAGTTTTGTGTCTCACTAAATAATGACAGCAAGCATATCTTGAGACTGTAACTAATTTTTTTGGTTTCCATGCTGTTAACCTTACAGGATCATCATTTATTTATTCATTTTTAATTCTGCATTATTAATTTTATAAGTAACTCAAGGCAGCAAATACATTTTGACCTGGGTTAGACTGAGAGTGTGATTGGCTACCTTTTGCTTCCCCATACTTCCAACATTTGTAGGAGTCTCTCAAAAATGTTAGCAATTTGTATGAAGGTATAGTACTATATATGAATCATTTTAAAGTAATTTTCCTGATCCTTGCTAATATAGTAACATAGAATTCCTTCAATATGTAGACCACCATGTATCTGAGATATTAATTCTTAAATCTGATTCCTCTGTTTCTTTGAATTATCACATCTAGCAGTTTCTAGCAGAATGTTATATGTTTTAAATTCTGAAGATTCTAACCTAAGGTAACATTTATTCCTAATTCTGAAAACACCGCCTAGAAAAAATAACAATGATATTACAGGTTTATTTCTTTGTCATCATCCTAAGGAATAACTCTTCCAATATGTGAGAACTGCAGGATAAGGAATCTCCCCAGATTTAAAGCTATTTAAATTAGACTTAAACATTCACCTCCCCAGATTTAAGTCTACTTGTTTTGGGGGGAAGATTGTGTATCTAGATTCTGGGACCTGATAATAATACACTTTTTATAGAGAATGTAGAACTTCAAAAATGAGCAGCTATCTTCTGTTCCCAGTCATTTATTCTGCATCATAATTGTATTGGGAAGTACCATTATTGATAGAATGATTCTTCTTATGTTCTCTTATTTAAACAATAGAATTGGTAATGAACTGTGAAAATGTGGCTTCAGTGGAGAATATAATACATAATGAGAGTGATCTCTGAGTGGTCTTTTATATTTAGACTGGAACTAAGCATGGCATGGGTATGCACCAGCATGTCCCCCCTTTCCCTCCTCTTTTTCATCACATTACCTTCATCTTATCCCCAATCCATATCTGAGGCAGATTAAGGCTGACCTTAGGTGCTCCGGTATTAAAGTTGTTTCCCCCTTTAAGTGGGTAAGAAGCCATGGCAGTTGTCATGACTTAAACAGAGATATGCATTGCAAGATATGCCAGATGCTCCAAAAACCTAAAGTTTTAAAGTTGTGTTTCTTTTTCTATGGCATACTTCTATGCCACTTGATAGTTACATGAGCCACAGTGGTGCAGTGGTTAGAGTGCAGTACTGCAGGCTTTTGCTGCCTGCCGGCTGCCTGCAATTTAACAGTTCAAATCTCATCAGGCTCAAGGTTGACTCAGCCTTCCATCCTTCCGAGGTGGGTAAAATGAGGACCCAAATTGTTGGGGGCAATATGCTGATGCTATAAACTGCTTAGAGAGGGCTATAAAGCATTGTAAAGCGATATATAAATCTAAGTGCTATTGCTATTGCTTCATCACAAACACTGCTGAAAGGACAGCTTAAGAACCATTATTAAACCAAGCAAATTATGTTGCTTGGTTATAGATAGAAAACCATTATGCCAAATAGTAATTAATAGATAATAGGCAATATAGAGATAATCTAGTTCAGCTTTTTCCAGTTGATACTGTGTGTTAACTGAGAATTATGGAAACTGAAGTATAGTATAGCTGGTTGAAGGAGATTGGCGTAATTGATCATCGCTTTGGCTTACAGCAATGTAAAAATCATCTGACAAATTTTAACTGCTGTTAAATATGAAGGCTTTTTATTAACTTCATTACAAATATAATAACACAATAAATTTGTCATAAATAATTATTCAGAACCATAAATAGAAATTTAAGGAATACATGCAGAACTGATATCAATAAAAGATAATAGAGCTTTGTCTTTCTAAAGTAGGTTTTCCATTATGATTCCATGAGCCCTGGAAACAAAGACCCACATAAAACGAAATTATAAAAGGCATTTCAAAAAAGGAGGTGAAAGATTTTGTACAGGATTTCCTGTTTTTCTTACTTTCTTGTAGCACTGTGAAATATTAAAGAAAAAGCAATATATAAACAATGAGGGCATAATATGAATATTAGATTTACTGCATCATAAGAAAAAGGAAATTTTAAAAGGGTGACCTGTACATTGGAAAGAAATAAATGTATACTACTGACTGGTTTCCATTTACCTATAATTCTTTAGATACTAACATACTATATACACTGTTGGATTACCTGTGTTTACTTATTTCCTCTCCTTAATGTATCATGAGAAAGAGCAGTAGGAGTCTTCGCTAACGCATTATGAGCACTTTCATCATCTAAAAATACCACACATTTTTTGGTATTAAAATGATATGAAAAAGATACATTAAATGATATCCAACCACATAACTACATTACATGTGTTGGAAGAAATATCCATCTGGTTCAGTTCCAAGCCGGGAGAAAGACACTGGAAACATGGAGGCTGATTGGAAAGATGATTCAATGATGAAGCAGAACCACATGGGTGGTTCTGGTGCAGTTGACCACATGGAGTAGCAAGTGGGAGGTATTTATACCTTGTCTTGGGTTTTGCACTTGAACTTCCTGTTCCTGTGCAAGAACATGTATTCTATTGGCTATTGTCAGATTCCCATGGGGCCATGTACAAATCCTAGGAGTTTGTCTGAGCTAAGTTTGATTGAGGTTTGGTCTTCTGATGCAATGAAGGGGCTTGTTGAGTGATTCCTATTGTGGTTGAGGGCTAACCCTATCTTTGTTCAGACCTTGCTGTAGGAAATTTGTTTATGAGTAGAGCTATCTTTTTATCTCTTAATTGCTGATATCTGCTGAGGGCTATTAAGAAAGGTGGGCGCTATTAAGAGTGAGTCTGCTTCCTGCCTCTAAAAAAAAACATGCTTCTCCATTTCTAATCCAGAGAAATATAATATTCTGCCTTTTTAATATTTCTCAAAATACTTCATTCTTCTAGGAGAGGGGTGGGTACTAACTTTCTACACATGAACACCTCTGAATACAAAATCCATAATGGGTAGTATAACTTTGTTGTACCTAGTGCCTTCCAGATATTTTGGGGTTCCAGTGCCCAGAATGCCCCACTTGACCATTATCCATCACACAATATCTTCTTTTAGAACAGAATAAATTATTGACAGCAAGGAATTCACACATATTTACATTTCTGTGATCTGGACCTTCACATTTTGTGTTCTTTATATTTCAGTCTCTATGTTATTAGCTTTAATACTCCTTCCTCCTCCTATTTTCTCCACAACAATGAACCTGTGGGCTGAGAGAGAGTGAGAGAAAATCACACAATTGACTTTCATGGCTAAGGAAGGTCTTGAATTCACAATCCCCTGCTTTCTTGCCTGGAGCCTTAACCACTAGACCAAACTGGCTCTTTATGTGGTCTACTTCTTCCTGTATTTTTTGGATTCACGTAGCTAGCAACAAACTAGCTAGGCTAATCAGGCCTCATTAATTAAGAAAAGATACTTCTAAGGACATGCTTGCTGCAGTTTCAGATTTTTCTCTGAACTAATTATGCTGATTTTTTAAAAAAAGTATATTAAATATATATTATATTAATCCTAATGAAAAATGTAATAATATTGTGTTGAAGTCTGCTTGAGATAAAATAGCACCTAAAATCTATAATGTGGCAACTAATCTTCCTACAGTTATTGATAGCTACTGAATATTTCTTCTTTCAGTTTTGATTTAATGATGTATTCTAAAGTTTTGTTTCTTTGTTCATTCTGTTTCAGGTAAATGTTACATGGCCAATCAACAACTCAACTTCTCTGAGTCATTTTAATTTGGTTTCAGTTTATGCCACTGTGCTACTAAACAAGACTGTTTTATTTTTAGGAACAGGAAATGGGCAGCTATTGAAGGTAGGTTATGCCATGAATCATTACAATTTCATCTGTTCCTCCATCAGGTTTATGTAAAATTGCAGAAAACTGTCTCCATATTTGGATTTATTTTTCTTCAATATGTTTTTATTCAAAAAAATTAATAGAATTAATATAAATAATCAGTATATTAGTTTTTAAGAACTCACAAATAATCTGCACATGCAATTTATCTTTTTTTTTTTTGAGTGGAATAAAACAGTTGATGCATGCATTTGCACATTTGCACTATTTGCACATTTAGAGCTTCCATTTTCTATAAATCAAATAGAAAAGATTTTGAAGGAAGACAGGTTTTATGTTGTTCCCTAGAACTTCACATTTGAAAAAAAAGCTGCTTTTAAAAAAAAAATACATTTTTTTGCTACAGTACATTTGATTTAATAATATATTCATTTGATTTAGCCATGGTATTTTGAACAAGGCATAGAACTTACATATGCTACAGTTTAAAAACCACAGTTTGCAGACTGGCTAGGCTGGGCTCATACAGTAAGCCACTATAACTCAAGTTACATAATGATTTTGCACAATATTGGAAGATAGCATATGTTTTTACTATAGCAACAACATCTATAACTATTTACACTCTTTTCAGTCTTAATCTTTATGTATGTATGTATGTATGTATCTATCTATCTATCTATCTATCTATCTACCTATCATCTTTTTATTAAATAATTTTAGCATGGTAAAAATCAGCCTTAATCTTTTCTTACAACAGTAGATCACATAGGAAAAGAAGTTGTGATGATGAATAGGTTGCAAAAGAGTACAGGACAACTTTATTCTAAACTGTTTGCAAGTTTATGTTCATTAAATATATCCTGTTTTTATAGATTGTTCTTGATGACAAAATGAAGCCAAATTGTCCAGAAATTTTATATGAAATTAAGGAAGAAACACCCATTTTCCATAGGCTTGAACTTGACCCTACGGATCAGAATTACATCTATCTACCATCTAATAATATGGTTGGTTGAATTCTAAATTATACTCTAGAATTCCATTTATATGCTGTTTTCAAAGTTGCATATAAAACTTCTTGTAGCCAAGTATTGAACGGCAGCAAAGCTTTTGCAAATATTCCAGTTGTTTTCTAGTGAAGTTTTATGATAAACAGATGCTGGAATGCCCATGGAAAAAGTTTAGAGGATTATGAAAAATTACCACACACTGGATCTTTTTTGTGGGGAGGGGAGGACTTTGGAAAATTCTTATATCATCAGGTCCTAAAAATCACCTCATCCTAGTAATCCTAGTTAATATTGAAAATATTGCCCCATTTCACATTCTGCAGTACTCACATTCTTCCACTTTACTCCCCATTTCACTGCCTTCTATTTATCTTAATCCACATTGTGATTAATTCAGGACTTCATTATTATGAGTCTTTGGTTTTGTAAGATGACTTAGCATTATTTAACTCTTCATTGATATAGAGTAAATGCTGTACACTAGAAGGTCAAAGGCCCAATAGCAATAGCACTTAGACTTATATACTGCTTCACAGTGCTTTACAGCCCTCTAAGCGAGTTACAGAGTCGGCATATTGCCTGCAACAATTTGTGTTCTTGTTTTACCAACCTTGGAAGGATGGAAGGATGAGTCAGCCTTGAGCCTGGTGAGATTCGAAATGCCAATAATGATTTAATAAGATTAATAGATATCATCTGATCTTAACAGAAATTGTTATGAGCAACCACAATTACAATTCTTCCACATTAAAACCTAAAATAGTTGCTATCTGAAAAATTTATGTTTTTCTAAGTATATAAAACACTTAAGAGCAATAATTAATCCAATCTTCCTAGAAATAGGAAAATGGGTTGGCCAGAAGTGCATTTCAAAATGAATTTTAGCAGTAGTTTCCTGTGAATTTGCCTATAGTTAGATATCGACAAAATAATTAAATACAACATTAAAACATTATCACCATATATTAGAAAACACCTGTAATTTATATGTTTCTCTTTTAATCCTAGAATTTGTTCCAGAATCAACCCAAAATCAATATAAACTAGCAGCCATAGACTTATTATTTGTCAGCCAGCTTTTGCCAGCCAGGATAAGCTCAAATCAAGTTCACAAATGGTTATTTGTAAAAGATTGAAAAAGTGAGAAATTGGTATCAACATACCCAAAACACACATCTTATTCTAGTATTCTAATGAAGCATATTTGTTTGAATACTTCCCTATATTTTTAAGAGTTATAACTTTATTTTAAAATAGTTATTTTTTGTGTATCTCGAACTCATAAAAATGTTGATTTGCTTGGAATGGCTGATAAGGAATTTGCAAAATATACTTTTTATTTTTTTTAGATCAGGAGAATACAGGTTGCAAATTGCAACAAATATATTTCCTGCAGAGATTGTTTATCTGCAATGGACCCACACTGTGGATGGTGCCACACAAAGAAAAGGTGATATTAATATTGTAATATAACATAATTAATATTTCATGCAGAGTCTGAATGTCTGTTCAAAATTATGTGTGTTTTAAAAGAAAGAAGAAGGAAGGAGGGAGAGAGAGAAAGAAAGAAAGAGAAAGAAAGCGAAAAAGAAAGAAAGAATATTTTATTTCTGTGCTTCAGAGGCATTTTTACTAAGTCAGAGACTCTCAGAATTTGTAATTATGTGACCCCTAAAAATTATAAATGAATTTGTGCCAAAATACATTTCGGTATTTATTGCCACGTTGACTTTCTTTTTAGATGGACCAATCTATGGACAACATTCTTTGGAACCTCTGTTTGGGGGGTGGGGGGGGAGAGGAGGAACCTCTTTGCTCCAAAGAGCATTGGATTCCATAACAGCGTTCAAACAAAGCAATATCTTTGCTTAAGATCTTTTTAAATGCCCAAATGAGAGAAATCAGAAGTTTCCTTTAAGGTTCATTTAGTTTTTCCAAAGCAAAATAAATAATGCTGTTCATATAAAACTCCCAGAAATAGATTGCATGCCAGCTTTAAAAAGAAAATGATGCTGTTTTCCCAGAATATAGGGATTACAACTCCATGAATTCCCTACTAGCAATTGTGAGTTCTAGGAGTTATAGTTATACTGCTGAAAATTATATAAAGATCAATGGATTTTAATCCAATCTAGTTGAGCCTCTTTATATTCTTAATTCTAGGCTCCCCAAAATTTCAAATTTAGGCCTTTCCAAATATGAATTTCAAGCCATTACATTGAGCTCTGGTTTTAGCTGTTTTGTAAAATGATTTTTAGAATCATAAAAATCTAAACAATACCAATATGCAACAATAAGCAAATGCAGCAGAGCATGATAATCTGATTAGGCCAATCTGTTTCTCAGGAATGCTTGCATTGCTTGCAGAAACAGTACAGCAACTTCTTTTTTTACAAGAATAGCTGAATAGAAATTGGTAGAATCCCCAAACCATATTTGATGTAAAACACATCCTTTTAGCCTGTTATGAGTTGAGGGGGGGGGAAAATTCAAAAATGGCTAGTGAAAAACAGTTAGTGTGAATTGCTATATAGAGTCAAAACATGTTTTATTATTTCTATAACAAATATACTTGTATTTTCTTTAGCTGCACTTTAAAAGGTGAATGTACATTTTCTAGTAACTCACCTAACTGGGTAAATATTTCATACGGCAAAGATAAGTGCCTGAAAATCTTCACTTCTGAACTCAAAAATAATAAGGTATGTAATTCATAATTCTCTAGTCATAGATTAAAGTCAGTAATACTAATAAAATGATTAGCAATGGTGATTTTGAAACTATGATGATATTGCATTATTTTAGTGTTCCAGCCACTGGAACACTATATTGCCCATTTTCTTAGTTTTTACCAATGAAACTTGTTGCAGGGTTGGGGTTGTGCAATTGTAAGATCATTGGCCCTCAGTAATTTTTATAATCTCCTCTCAAAGAGTAGTAGCTTTCATTATGCCAATAAAAGTAAAAATAATGGATCATATCTAGATATAGTCATGATTATAATACTTTGCCTTTGGATCCAATTCCAATCCAGTAAATTAAACACAAGTAAATAAAACTGGGAATAGTGGTAATACAATAGTATATTCAACTAGTATTTTTGCTGCTGTTGTACCACAGTACATCCTTGCTGTGTAGAAAGTAACTCATGCCACAGATATTTCCTACTTGTTCTACTTATCATACCAATACTATTTGTATTTTATGACTTTCAAATTTCTAAACATTCATCTGTATTAAAAGTATATACAAAATAGATTAACCAGTCTGGCTACTTGGGCCCCTCCAGATCTATGATCATAGGGATGTACTTTAATTTTCAAGTAATTTTTGCTACATTTTAAACAAAAGAAGCCATGCATCTCTATATATATTGTATAATGCTAAATCATTATTAAGACTGGGAACAGAAGGAAGGAAACCTGGATAGATCCTGTTTTGTAGTTGATTTTTTGGATTTAATCATTGAAGTTGCCCAGATTTCAGCAGATTTCTACTTCCTAGCTCACTGTCAGGATAAAATTGGCAATTTTATAACTGGCACTGAATAAATTTATTGTTTACAATGTTTTTATTCTTTTAGGTTAATGTGAGAGTCGATGTAAATTCTTTTGGTCTTTCTGAAGCACATTCCCATTGCAGGATGTTAAATGCAAGGACCAATAAAATTCTTTGTGAAGTGAATCAACGCCATCTCAGTTGTTCCTGTGATATAAATTTTAAAGATCTATCAGAAAAAGGTGGGCTTCTTTATATTTCAGTTTTGTAAGTTGATATTTCTATATCTTGCAATATATTTTCTCTAGTTATACATAAAAATTCAAAGTCTACTCTTACAGATTGAACTCAGTGCAAAGGGAGGTTATATTACAATATTAGTTAATATTTGCATTGCATGTTCATGATAACATAACCCTCTTTAGTTTCAGCTGTATCATAAAAGATTATTTAATGTAACAATGAATTCAGTTAGGTTATTAAAAATGTTCCTCTGGTTGACATGTGAAAAACCTGTGTGAAAAAAACATACTCCACACTCCAACCTTAAATCATGGAAGTGAAGCCATTTTAAGAAAGCCCTTTCCACTGCCGCCGGCATGAAGGGAAAGTCTCCGGCCCCGAGGAACCTGCCCGTTCCTCTCGGCCGCCCAAGGGGTCCCTTCTTGTCCCCCTGTCCCTTTAAGACAGGGGAGATCCGAAGACCTGTCGGCGGCAGCTTGGCAGACGGAGTTTTGGCAGAGCTCCGCGGAACTCGCCATTTCTTCGTCTGGATCCCCGCGGTGCTCCGAGGACTCTGGGCGGCTTACACCAAAGACAGTATACTAAATATCATATTGCCCCCAACAATCTGGGTCCTCATTTTATCCACCTTGGAAGGGTGGAAGGCTGAGTCAACCTTGAGCCGGTGAGATTTGATCCGCTGATCTGCTGAACTAGCAGTCAGCTGAAGTAGCTGCAGTACTACACTCTAACCACTGCGCCACCTCGGCTCTTTTGCCTTGGACTAGAAGGCAAACATGTAAATCTTGTCAATTTTACCTAATTTGAAAAAAAGAAAAAGAAAAAAAGATAAACCATTTCACTGTTCCAATGTTCCACCACGTAACTTTGTTCTGTCCCCATCTCACACACGCACACAAACAGTCAGCCAGGAGTTAAAATAAACTTGCAGACAATAATTTCCTTCGATAACAGAATCGGCAGCAACCCAGTAGCTGCTTGCCAAAAACTTTACTCACAGAGGGAGGTGTTCCTCCTCTGTCAGATAAACCAAAATAAATTCACAAAGCCAAAGAATTGTCAAGTCCAGTCCATAATAAATCCAAGGAAGGCAGATAACGAAGTTCCAGAGACACAGTATGACTTGCTAGCTGTTCAGTTTTGTCCGTCACAAAGCCTGAATGGCCACCACACCCCCTTTTATCCCCTGTGGGGTGTGGTCCAGTGACTCAGCTTAATCTCTGGCACGCCTCCTTCTCTGATGCTGGCGGGGATCCAGCCAAGACTTATCTCCGTCGCTGTCTAACTGCGGCTGCTCGGAGATGCCTGGCTCCTGGCCTATCTCTTCTCCTTCGGGAGACACCTGAGGCATTGCCAGAGAGGAGGGTCCTGGAGAGGGAGGCCTTGCCAACACATCTCCTTCACTTTCGGAGTCTTCTCCCTCCGATAAGATGGGCTCGGGGGTCGGAGTCACAACAAACTTAAAAAAAAAGAAGAAGTTAGCCTTTCATTTCTCTGAAACATGTAAAATAAATAGACGGCCATAAAGGGTTGTAACCAGCTATAGGAAGGGAGGGGGCATTCCTGCAACAGGGAATCACAGCTGGAGTAGAGAGGGCTACCTGCAATGAAATGAAGTGCAGAAGACAACATAGAAAACATTGCTAGTATGAATGTAATTTTTTTAAAAAATCCCTATATACAACAAGAAAAAACAGCTGGAAGTTGCCTTTCTGGATGGCTAGAGGTAAGTAGATGTCAACACAGAGTGGGACAACTCACCACAGCCAACTTACCGCTGCCAATATGCTATGTCCAACTCACCATGGGACAACTCAACAATTTTATTTAATTATTTTAAATAATTTAAAAATTATTTTAATTTTTGTCAAGAGCCTTGCTGGTTGCCTGCAATTAGTGCAAGTTCGAATCTCACCAGGCTCAAGATTGACTCAGCCTTCCATCCTTTCATGGTAGGTAAATTGAGGACCCGGATTGTGGGGCCAATAAGCCAACTTTGTATAGAACAACACCGCTTGGGGGGGGGGGCGAAAGCCCTAATAAGCAGGTATATACAAAAAAGTATGCAGGCTATTGCTATAATGCATTGTAAGCCGCCCTGAGTCTACGGAGAAGGGCAGCATATAAATTGGACTAATAAATAAATAATAAATAAATAAATCACATTTCATTTTACCCTTCCTTTTGCATCATTTCTTTAATGATTCTATTTTACCATTTTTTTGATATTATATAACTTTTGTCCGACAGCAAATTGTCCCATGGTGAGTTGGCCATGGTGAATTGTTATATGGCGAGTTGGTCATGGCAAGTTGTCCTAGACCTGATGCCAACAAATTTTCCTGCCCTTAAGAGTGACCAGTGGCTGATATTCACATGGGGGGGGGGGGGAAGCTGGTTCTTCAAATCAATCCTAGATTGCACTATATAGATGATAAAAATAAATTGATTCATAATCCTGGTTGGCAACTACAATCTTTTTGAGTTAGTTCCAGATCTAGCATTCTGATCTTTGCCATTATACCACAGTATATGGATCTTTCCACCTAGCCTAATCTTTTTTTTAATCAGGAATGATGGTTAAACTTTCATGGGTTGTCCGCTAGTTTACTTCTTGCAGCCAGTATCAACCATATACCCTTCTTTTAAAAATACAGTCCATTAGAATCTAAATTGTATGTCAGCTAATACAAACATGATTTAGATTACAAACGTGTTTCTGGCAGAGATTCATTTCTTTTAAGTGTTTCCTAAAAGATAGAAAATCAATATTTGAACCACTTTATAACATTGAGCCTTCCCTCACTTGCATCTAACCGCACCATAAGTTGCGTCTAACCACCCCTGGCAACATTATCATTGTCTGATACTGACCTAATCCCTTGATATCATCTGAGGCAGCTTTCAAGTATCTTTAACTCTACTGGTTTTAAAGTAGGTTTTTCCTCTTACCACAACATATTTGTTGCAATATATATAAACTGACAAGCTTCGCCAATCATTCTGTCAGGGGTGTATTAAAGTGATCCCAAGAGAAAGGTTTGACTTAACTTCTCTTGACCACTTTAGAAATGTTAACATATTTTAGGCTGATGTGGGCTCTGCCACTCTCCTCTGGTTCCTGGGTATTGTCCTCCAGGGCCATTCTGATTTGGGCAGTAAGATTGAAACAAGACTGAACCGGCCCGAACCACCACTGGAAAGGGGAAATAATTTTGAGGAAATACACCAATCCCTTTTTTTAATATGCTCTTTATAGTAATAACATATTTTCCAGCATCAGATTTGCAGCAAGTTCAACAAAGCCACAAAAGGTTTTACACTGGCATATACTCAGCTGTACTTCTAATTTCTCCTTAAGTGTTGAATAACATTTCCAAAAAACAAAGTTGGCAATCTACAAGCGAATCAACTTTCTCATATGACGTTAAAAATCTGCAGTCCATTTGAATGGCCATTTTATTGTTGGGCTGTTCTGTATTATTCATTGCTATAATTATAGTTTTACTTATGCATTATTTATAAAAGCTTTCTAGCAGAAGAAAATAATACACATTTCTTTATGAAACATATCCAACATTCAGCCATGGCATAGTAGTATTTTTCAATCACTTGCTTTCCTGTCTTCAATTTTTATTGAAGCAAAATGGACATATGTATTTTGTAACTGCCTTCTAAGATCAGGGCAATTACAAGTACATTCATATACATAAATAATGTCATCTATAATACTTTCTGGAATTGTAGTGCAATAGCTTTATTGTATATACACACACACACACACACACACACTTTCTGTTTTTACATCCTTTAGGGCAGAAATAAATGTTTGTGGGTGGATTCAAGAGTTCCAAATTGCTAAAAGTTTCAAAGTTTCAAAATTGGAGAGCATAAATCTATTAGCTTTTAAAATGTATGTGCAAAAACGAATTGCATAATTCTTTTTCTCAGTGCTCTTCTACGACCTCAGCCAGATAACAACACTGCATTAACGCTGACTGGCAAATGTATTGGGAAATACATAGTAACTGATTTCCTGTGCATATTTTTCCTCATTTTGACTTCCTTTTTCAAAGAGATTATGAGAAAGGAAGAAAGTATCGAATTTGGATGTAAAGTTGAATGATGCTATACCACTATATTTTAAGGCTGAAAACATTGCTCATTTGTTTCACCTAGAACATAACAATTGTCAATAAGAAATACAAAAAAGCTGGATAGTGTATATGGCAGTAGATGGAGATAGCAGAGTAGAAGGAAAAGAACTTGCGTGGTGGGGAGGGAATCACAAAATTCAAAGACCTGCAAAATGATTGTGGCAAAAAAACCCCAAAGATAGCATCAATGGTACTAGGTGCCTTGGGTGCAATCCCAAAATATCTGGACCATCAGTTGAATGCCATCGTCATTGACAAAATCATCATCAGACAGTTGCAGAAGTTACTTGGAACAATTTATATTCTGTGATGATACCTTTAATATCATCAAACAATAACATCTCCCTATCTCAGGTCCTTGGAGAAGGACTTGATAGATGGATAAGAAAATGCCAAATCCAATCTAAACATATGGCTGACAGTGAATGAATCATAATAATACATTCCAAAGAGAAAAGTAGTAATATCAATGTAATAATTAACCAAAATTTGCATTAACAATAGACTTTAAGGTCTTGTTCAAACATAATGCTAAATAATGATTGAAAATTATATAAACAAATTTCAGATACATTTTTTCCTCTCCTTCAATAAGAATAGATTGGCAACTCTCATTTTTTAAAGTTAAATACATTTTAATATTGTGCCACATCTAAATTGTGATTAAGAGATACAAACTTTAAAGAATCTTAGTCTACTTTCTTGAAGTATAAGTACTTGCATCCTAAGATCTGGGCATAAAAATAAACCTCGGTTAAATGAAATTGAGACAAAAACTTCAATCTCCTCATAGCAACACAAAGGAAAAGGGAGAGGAGTACCTAAACAAGAGTTGTATCCAAAAGAGTGGATTGATCATATCTTTCAATTGTATGAAATATGACATATGGCATATTTAGTCACAACTTCTATCTATTTCATTCCTATACCCTTGAAAAATAACTTGGTGTTTCTCATATATAAATTATTCATCACAATGTATTTTCAATGGGTGTGCCTGGTTGCATATTATTGGATTATGATACCCAATAATGTTGAAAATCTTCTAATTCCAAGTATTTTATAAATTGATAGCAATTTGCAATCTGCAAAAGAGAACAAATTTGGTCTAGTGCAGGCATGTCTAATCAGTCGTCCACAGGCTGCATGTGGCCCTAGACAGCTAGTAATGGGGCCTAACAAGATTATAAACTTTTAACAGTATTATGTGCAGTTATATATATTAACTATATTATATATTTTATATATGGTCCAGACAATTTCTCAATGTGGTCCAGGAAAGCCAAAAGGTTGAACGCTCCCAATGTAGCAGTTATGGCACCAAGCTAGAAAACAAGAGATTGTGAATTCAAGTCCTTCCTTAGCCATGAAAGCCAGCTGGGTGACTTTGGACCAGTCACTCTCTCTCTCAGCCCAACTCTCTTCACAGGGTTGTTGTAGGGAAAATAGGACAAGGAAAGTGTGTTGGATATATTTGCCACCTTGAGTTATTTGTAAAAATAATAAAGATGGGGCTCAACACAAGAAAAAATATTAAATTATGGGAATGCTTTAAATCTGTGACTCATTTAGGTAGTAGTGGAGATATTATACTGATTTTGTAAAGACTCTGTATGAAAACGGAAATCATGCTGGAAACAATGACTGTATAAGAAATGCATATCAGTGGTTCAACTAAGAACAATTACCACTTTGCTGAGATAAATAGCATAAAAAGAAGTGATGTCCTAGAGATGGAACTCAGGAGACTTTGCTTCTCCAGAAAGCATTTTCTTGCAATTCAAGTATATTAGAAGTGTGACGATATTTTTCTAGGAGATATGTACTAGGAGATACTATTCCTAGGAGATATTTACTATTCCAATATATTTGGAAGATGACTGTGGTCTTGGGTATCTGGAGAAATTATAGTAATTATTATGGCATTATTTATACACTCCTCTAGAAATATTTATATGTACTGGGTTTCAACAACTTTGCTTAAAAGAAAAGGGGATATCTTTGGCAGATAATTTTTGAACCCTTGTTACAGAGAGATGTGATTGGGTGGATACTGCATGGGAATAGAGGAAGATGTGGTTGATAATACTGAAAGAAATTAAAGATCCATTTGCCTTCACATAACCCTGTGAATACAAGTTTAAGGAAGTTGCTTTAACTATTCAGCATTCTGCAAAAATAAAATCTGATCTGCTGAATACAGCCTAATCTTGTGGTGACACAATTAGAGCAATTTTAATAAATATTAATCAAACTTTTTTAGTAAAGGCAGTTGTAGAAGACTGAAAACAAATCTATTAGCTTCAGCGTGTATAGCAGATGTAAAAGATTTGCAGATCAATGTAAAGATAAATGTATAATTAGTTGCTCTGTAAGTCCATTTGCAGTTTATTTCTTCTATGTATTCTTTATATAGAAAGTTGACATGTGCATACGTCAGCTACTTATTAGGAAAAAAATCATAAAACAGCTCATTTAAAAGGAAAAAAGTCAAATGTTTAGAAAAACTCCAATAACTGGGAAAAGCCACCATAAATACATTTGTTTTTAAAAATTATATAAAAATTATCAGTTTGGAGGTCTGGCACGCTCATGAGAGATTATTTCATAGGTCAGTGGCTACTATGGAGAAAGTTGCCCCTTTGTTCAATCTGCAAGCTTGAACAAAGAGATCACATTGTTTCAAGAAGTCTAGTTCTTTGCAGTTCTTGGTGCTTGATTGTTTTCTCGCAGAGTTTCATTATCCAACTAAGTAACATTGATCAAGCTCAGAGAGTACCAAGGACTCCACAGTTAATTACTGAGTTCAAATTTTCTCTTCTATTGGAGCCTGGATTTTTAGATGTTTTAGACTTTGTATATAATGCTAATACTACTTGTAAACTACCTGTAACACCATTTGTCAGCCCTGGAGCCCATCTTTTCTTTTTGATCTTCAGGGCTGCCACATTTAGTGCTCTGGGAAATTGGGAGGGGGGATTTGTGAGGAGTTGATGGAGATATTTAGCCATAGCAACATTCTTTTCTCTGGGAGTCAAGGACTTTCAGCCTGCCCCTGGATAGCGTGACTGGGGAATGGACATGTGGGTGCAGGGAATGGGTCTTTGACTTTGTTTTGGGTGGGGAAAACCCGGAAACTTTCAGATTCAGATGTGCCAATATGACAGCTCTAATAAACTGGAACTTTGAGGACTCCAGCCTTGGAGTCTTCTTTGGTTGGGGGTGTTACTTGGAACCAAAGTGTTACTTGGAACGCTGACATCATTTTCATGAAAACCAATAAAAAAGTTTATAGTGATTAAAACATAGCATAGTTTTAAGTAACAAATTAAGCTGTTTAAATGATATAGTTACAATATGTATCCAAAACAGCACACTAACCCCCCCCCCATATATTAGATGACACAGGAAAAAAGGCACTGTTGTGGGGAAAACAGGAAAAGAAAGGAGTATTATGTATGTTCACTGCCTTGAATTACTTATAAAGTAATATAGATGGGATAAAAATCTAATAAATAAAATTGAATAAATTTCTAGGTATAATGGTACAGGTATGCATAGAAATATTGTGAATGTGACTCCTGGCTCTCACAGAGTTCTTTTAGATTAGTGTTTCTCAACATTTTTAAGATGTGTGAACTTCAAATCCCAGAATTCCCCATCCAGTATTCTGGAGCTGAAGTCCACACATCTTCAAACTGCTAAGATTGAGAAAACTATTTTAGATCTTCTGCCCATAAAACTATTTTAGATCTTCTGCTACACATGTACCCTCCCACAACTCTTTGGGACAGTTATTCCAGAAAAAAATATACTCTCTGCTAATTTCAATTCATATGCAGAAAATGGCAAACTTCTTACCTTCTCTGAATAGCTGGAATATGCTAGAAATTACTTGTCAAGATGAAAGCTCTGATTTCATAAGAAATGCAGATCCTTTATTATGTATATTGAGCTTAAGAAACTAATAAATTTAAAGGAAACAGAATGACTGAAAATAGATTTTTCTTGCACAACCCTCCCCTCCTCCAACAGGCACAGAAAACAGATAGAACAAAATCCCAATAGCACAGTTTAGTATGTGAAATAAAAGTAAATGTATACCACATACAGCCTCATTGATAGCTAGATAGCTGTACCATGTAATTCCTTGAATGCCAATTCAGAGCTAAATGGATTGGAGTTTGGCTCTTAAGTGGCATTCAGTCAGCCCTGGGAAAGAACTCCAACTAGAACAAAAGACAACATGGAGTTCTGCTACTCTGTTTCAAAAAAGCACCTTGATAGGGGAATTTTCCTGCTCCTGATTAGTTTCAGAGCTTGATTTTCCAGTCCCTGATAGTCTTTGATTATTAACTATATCAGGGCTGTCAAACTCCCGGCCCGCAAGCTGGATGCATCACGTGCTGGCCATGGCCACATCCGGTTTAGCAAAGGGGGGGGAAAGTCCCGATACTTCACGTGACAGCATGAGTTTGACACCCCGATCTACATGGACAAGTTAGATTTAATTGATGGATTAAATTTCAGTTTTTCTTTAACTCTTTCATGTCTGAACCTTTGGGATAGGATTTCTCCCCACTCCCCACTCACTTGAAGAAACCACTCTTAAAAATTTTGCTCATAGAAGCAAGTTCATAGTCCCAGAAATTATATTAATGGTATTGAAAAGTTAATGCATGCAGAAGTGGGTGAGATCTGTACACCCTGTACAATTGTACCATAACTTGAGCTTCTATGCAAGGTAATCTAATATTCAAGAAATATAGAACATCATTTTATTGAAACTGTTAATTCTATGTGATATATGTTAATTCTATGTGATGTATGTTAATTCTATGTGATGTATGAGGTGCGATCTATTTAGAAGTTTGTTGTTGAACACATTTCATATTTCTATAGTAATGCATTCATTGTAAGCCTTTCAGGCATCCAGTCCTGACTGAAAAATAGGTTGTAAATAATATAGAATACAAAAGCAACCACAATATAAAGGAAATTTGTAGCTCTAGATTTAAATCAGTTGTTTTTAAGTTATTCATTATACACAGGTTTGCAGTTAATAATATAAGTGTTTTCTTCTCACTTTTTTCAGTTCAAGTGTCATTCATCTCAGGAACTTGGAATTTATCAGAAATATTTGAATTTGACATCTGTTCCTTATCAAAAACGTAAGATGCATTTACTAAATTTGTTTTGTATGGATTTTATAATATTCCACTTATCATTAAGAATTAGAAATGTAAACAGTTCATAAATGTAAAAAGAAGTATAGTTGAGGTTGTTACTGATAGATCTAGTATCAAATATTTAATATTTATGAGATGTAAATATCATAAATAGGACCTAACTACTAGGCATTCTTCACACTTTTGCTGATGGTCCATTCTCTCCTTTGCTAATTGCTATATATTCTTTTTTTAAATATATATTACTAGATGCTCAAAATGTAATCATATGCACTGCACCTGGAATGCTAGAGAAGAAAAATGTGTTACCTCTACTATGACTTGTGCCAAAAAAGTAAGATGTTTTGATTTTATAGAATTATAAAATTCATTTAATGAAATTTGTTCTCTTAAGTGGTCTTTGTAAATTGATTTGTTTTTATTTATTTATTTTTCAGATTGATTGTAATAGCACTATCAATGCATTAAACAAAAAAGATCATTCAGCAACATCAAAGGTCAGCACACAAAAAATTGAAAAAAAAAATGAAACTATTATATTAGAAATGAAAGGAAAAGATGTATTTATGTCTTACATCAGAGATGGACTTATTGTTAAAATTATCCAGAAGCCCAGTTAAGCATGGCCAATGGAAGATAATCCTGAAAATTATCAACAACATCTGGAAAGCTACAAGGGAAAGCTATCCCTTAACTTCTTGGCATGGATCTGTCTCTATGGAGAAAGGCAGACTCTCTCCTTACTGACAGATTAATGTGGCTATTTTATGAGAAGTAAATTGCTGATACATATATTTTGAAGCTGGGTTTGTAAATTTTCCCGGTGTAACAGAATAAGATGCAATCCAGTTTGGGATCACTGCATATAAAGTAACTTAATTCTCTCACCTCTGTGCAGACCTTGGTTTCAGTGAAAAAGAGTAACTTTTAAAAATTTATATTTCCTAGGTGACTATTTTATATATATATATATAATTTCAAATGGGATCCATCCTAATGAATCCAAACTTTCAGTTTTGTTACCCCATCTTTTGAATACATCTGCTATAATTAATATTCCTCATCCAGTTGGCTGCCTTGGCTAAGCAAGGACTTGAACTCATGGCATCGTGCTTTCTAACTTGATCCTTAACCACTAGCTCCCAAACCATTAATAACAAAAGAATGTTAAAGGTGTTTATAAATGCATGATTCTGTTACTTAATTTTAAAAGATTGTCTGGATATGTTAACATACATTTATTTTGTTTCCAATAGCCTATTAAAATTATTTCCATTGAACCGAACTACATGTCAACATTAGGTAAACCTGAAGTGCTAGTCATAGGAGAAAACTTTAACAAATCAAATTTTTTGATGGAGATAACTGGAACCAGCAGCTGCCAACAAGATGTGTGAGTCAAAATAACATCATATTGATTTTATCTTGAAACCATTTGCACTGGTGATTGTACAATATAATCAAATAGTGTCTACCTAACAAAATGTAGATTTACAGCTCCTATACATGGAAATTGAAACTGTTCTGTTGTTGTGTTAACTCCCAAAGTGGAACTTTGCTAGTAATTAGGAAGTAACATTCATTAGTGTATCTTTTTCTCATTCTCTGTGGAATAATGGATTGAATTTGTCTTTCTGAAACATATATATGAAGATATAAAGCTATGAGCAAAATTAATATAAATATAAGATAAATGTAAAGGAGAGTTCAATATGGATGGCATCAGACTCCTGATAGTTATTCATATTTTCCATAGTCATTCTTAGAATTTACTGTATACCTTGGCTATGCTTGTCCACATTTTCAATATGAAAAAGAGACAAAATATAAGAGTGACCAGAGAAACTGTAAATTCTGAGAGATTATTTGTTCAACAGTACAGGGGGGGAAATGTTAATTGCCAGGAGTGTCTCCTGAAGGTTGCTGATTGCTCACTGTAGGTGATTTATTGAGTAATAACTCCTGAGTAAGCAGATACTGTACAAGACAGGGGTCAGCAACCTGCGGCTCTGGAGCTGCATGCGGCTCTTTGGGCCCTCTGCCACGGCTCCCTGTCACCCTGTCACAGTAGTGGCATGGTCGGACCCTTAGTGTGGGAGCAAAGCGCCCCTGCACTTGCCTTTGCATGGCAACACCATTCCACCTGGTACATTTGCTATTGCCACAAGCAAAGATTGCTTGGAGAGAATGGCGGGGGCGGATTTGTGGGGTGCGGGCCATCCCCCAAGCCTGGCTGTCCTTCTCCCTTGTTGGTGGGGCCAAGTGAAAGAAGGGGCAGCATGGGGAAGTGCTCCCCTGCCCTGCCAAGCACAACAGCCCAGCGGGGGGGGGGATGGCTCAGCAGAAGTGGTGTTGTGATCCAGGCCCAAATAGGTAGTAATCAACGCAAACAGTTCCAAAACAAACAAACTTTATTAGAACAGCTGAAAATTAATTCATTCTCAGCATAGTCCAAACTAAATTAAAACAAACTCTTCATAACACAAATTCTTCAGTCTAATCACCAACCTTGGTATAATTAGGCAAACTGCCAAAGGCTTCTCTTGGCAAAAGTTCAAAAGCAGAAGACGCCAACAAGAGATACGTGCAGCAAGACACTCTCTCTCTCTCTCTCTCCCTCTCTCTCTCTCTCTCTCTCTCTCTCTCTCTCTCCCTCTCTCTCTCTCTCTCTGCGGAGATCAAACCCAGAAGTAGCTGCCCGCTGAGAGAGAGGGGGAAAACAGATTTTTTTTTTTAAAAAAAATGATTTATTTATATGCTGCCCTTCTCCGGAGACTCAGGGTGGCTTACAAGGAGTTAAGCAATAGCCTTCATACTTTTGTATATTATATACAAAGTCAGCTTATTGTCCCCCACAAATCATTTTACCTATCTTAGAAAGGATTGAACCTGAGTCAAGATTGAGCTCAATTCAGCCCTCGCCAAGGATGCTCACCCATCAGCCAGTCTCTCTCACTGTGTGTCTCTCTGTGCATGTGTCTCGCTCTCTCTCACTCCCTGCCTCTGTCTCTTCTCACTCTCAGAAAACCCTGCAGCCTGGTGTGCTCTTTTGGGAGCTTTTCGCCAGCTGTTTTTTTTCTTCCTTTTGGAAAGCTAGGCTGGCGGAGCAATGAGCGCAACCTGCGGCAGAGGCTTCCCTCCTCCTCCCCTTCCCCTTCCTCTCATGCGCACCTTTCTGGCCCTGCCACTGTTGGTCAGGGGGGTGCAAGAGGAAGAGGGGGAGGAGGAGGGAAACCTCCTCCGCAGGTTGAACTCATTGCTCTGCGAGCCCAGCTTTCCAAAAGGAAGAAGAAGAAAAAACAGCTGGCGAAAAGCCCCAAAGAGAGCACACAGGGCGGCAGGGCTTTCTGAGAGTGAGAAGAGACAGAAGCAGGAAGCGAGAGAGAGCGAGACACACACACTCACAGACATAGAGAGAGAGACACACACACAGAGTGGGGGAGAGAAAGAGAGAGAGAGAGAGAAAAAGACAGACAGAGAAATGAGAGAGTGATGAGGGTGATAGAGACGGAGAAAAAGAGAAAAAGAAAGACAGATGAGAGAAAGATAGGGAGGGAGGGAGGGAGGGAGAGGGAGAGAGAGAAAAAGAAAGAGATGACAGAAAGATACAGAGAGAGAGGGAGATAGACAGAGAGGGAGTTACTTATTTCGCATAGAAAACATGGAGCCACAAAACCTGGGTAGGCATGGCTGAGGGGGCATGTGATTGGGTGGGAGTGAGTGACATCAAGTTGGCCACGCCCTCCCAGGTTTTGTGGCTCCCAGTGTTTTGTTTTCTGTGGGAAACGGGCCCAAGTGGCTCTTTAAGTGTTTAAGGTTGCCGGCCCCTGATACAAGGAATAGCTGTCCTTTCCAAGGAGAAATACACTGAAGAGGTAAACAAGGATAGTTAATGGGAAATTGCCAGTAAAAAAGAAGCAAGGAAAAGACAAAAGTCTCTGGAGAAGCTAATTCTCTGAAGGACTGTTTGTTCAGCAGTCTTGTGAAAAGTAACAAGACAATATCCCAAAGAGTTACTGATTACAAGCAATGCATACTGAGAGCTGATAGTTGTCCATTATACTGTAGTTGATTAGATGGCCTGTTCCTGCTGAGCAAGCAATGACAGGAGGCAGTTAGATTCCAAGAAGCAGTCTGAGTGAAGCAACAGAGAGAGCAAACATTAGGCTGCTGAAGGAGTTTACATATCTATCATATCTTCATTCTAAGTGAACAGTATTTAGATAAGAGAACAAAGTTTTATCAGATCAAGCAAAGGAAATGCTAGTTGAAAGAGGAAGCAACTCTCTATGAGAAAGATAATAAAAGAAAGAAGTGAATGGGACTGTCAACAAGAATTAAGAACTATAGACAATATTTTATACTAAGAAATACCCTTGAGGAGGCCCATGGAGGTGGAGGGAGGTTCTAAGCCTTTAAGGAAAAGACAGAAGACAGTGCAGAAGAGGTGAAAGGGGACAGTTTTAAAAGGAGTTCAGGTAAGAATATTCAGTGAGAGTAATAATGTGTTAATAAGGGACAGTTTTTTTCTTTTTCCTTAGGGTACATGTTACTAAAGTGTTAAATGACACACACATGAAATTCTGTTTACCACCAAGTCGTAAAGAAGTCAAGAGCGCTTGCATAAAGGAAAGCGGGTTTGAATGTTCTGCCATTCTTCCACTACATTACGTCTCTTTTCCATCATGCGCTAAGATCCTTCCAAATATTACTTGGATGAGGTAACATTTAATTTGTACTATCATAAAAGATTACATCATCTGAAAGTTAATAGTCTAACCTAAGCACAGCATTGTTATTGAAAGTAGATCATTTGAGTTTATAGACCTTTGCCTCTCTCTCTTTACAACTTTCCTTTACATGTAAAGCAGATTATTATTCCTCTACCATACCAAAATAGCAAATGGGTGAAAATACTACAACAAACTTTTCTGTACCACTGACATTGCTACTGAAAGCTCTCTTCCTCACCACTTTTTTTTTTCTTCTAATAAACAGGAAACATTTTTATGTTTCTTTCAGCAGATTATTTCAGTGTATTACTAGAAAAATGAGATCAAAATAAAATTATTTTTACTACTATTAAACTACAAGTTAATAGAACATTTTAGTAGCATAGCAAATTCACATCTCTGTTTTATAAATATATCAGCATGAAAAACAATTATGTAATCAAAATAACATGATAGTTTTTCATATGTACCAAGTCAGTTGTAGAACTGTCCCAAGTTTTGTGTATTTTTGTATGGGTAACAAATTACTGATTAACAAAAAAAAGTTTTTTCTCTACCTGCCTTATTATTTGTATTCTTGTATATTGAATGCCATTTGCTGTTTATATAATGTAAGGAGAAAGTAATCTAAGAAATATATTTTGAGCCTATTTATATTTTATGGTATCTTGTGCATATTTTTAATAATACAATTTTTCTTTAATACTTCTTTCGGTAATGCACTGAATACATGTATGTTTAAATTCACTTTTTAGAAACATAATTAACCTGTTTTCCCCCAAAACAAGACATCCCCTGATAATAAGCTCAATCGGGCTTTTGAGCGCATGGCAATAAGGCCAAGTGCTTATTTCAGGGTTCAAAAAATTATAAGACAGGGTCTTATTTTGGGGGAAACATGGCATATATTGCAGGAATTGTGTTTTGAGCTCAATTTTATTGTGTAGATACTTCATGTGTTGACAATATCTAAGGCCATAGCTAGCAAGCTTCCTGAAACAGTCTGCCTTGTGATTATTTGAGATTAAAGTTTGATATTCTGAGTTAATGTACTTTGCAATCTGAAAATTTTTGCAATCTGCAAAATGATTTTTTTTCATTTTTATTTATTAAGAAATTCCTGTTTTAACATGATTTTTTATTGTTTTGCCCCCTCCCCCAGTGGAGGTCGCAATATGACTATACATGGGAAATATCTGGATATCACAGATGAAGTTATTTTAAGTGATTTCCCACAAAACGTAATGGTAGGTACTGTATACATTGTCTTTCCTCCGTTGTCTGTCTCTGCCTTTAAATGGATTAAAATAAATATTGTGCCCAAATGTATTGATAATGCTTGTAAAGAATTTAGATTTATAAGGCCCCTCACTCAACATATGAATCTGCATGTTGAACAATTAAAATTAATAATAAAAATATCAACAGAAAACAGGACAAAACAAATCATACCAGAGGTAACATGGATATTAATATCCTCAATTCCCTGAAAAATAGGTTCTCTAACTATCCTACCCAATGCCTGAGAAAAAGTCAGACTTTACAGAAGGCCAATAGATCAGGACCATCCAAATTTCCAGGGCTTATGCTTTCCATAAGGCAGACAGAAAAGCTGGGTTTTGTAGATTTCACCAGATGACATTATTTGATTGAGGGGACCTATCATATGCTCACTCTGTGGGATGGGCAGAAATAATTGGACAAAGATGGTTCCCCCATGTAACCCAGACTGTCATGAGAGGTTTTATAGATGATAATATGAACTTTGAATTGCACTAGGAAACCTACTGGGAGTCAATATAGCTTGGACAGTAGTGGGTACACAGATGTGACCATGTAGTTCTTAAGGAAGTCTCATATTGCACAGCATGTTGCAGTAATCCAAAAAGACGTTCATCAGGACACAAAGGTTTGAGCTGGACTTCCCAATCCAGAGACTGATGCAGTTCCCACATGATATTGTGCAAGGGCCCTCCTAGCCATGCCTACCAGATACCTTTTGAACAGGATCCAATAATCTAGAACTATTCCCAAATTGTACACTAGTTGTAATTTGGGCAGTGCAACATTCTGGTGGGAGAGAAGTTCCCTGAGGATGTGCTCCAGCATAAGTCTGAAAGCTCGGAAGATTAAACCTCTGGTCCTAGTGACCAACCCAGATTGGATCCTGCAGTATTATCCTGTATTATATTTGCCTTCATTTGTGAGTGCAACCCCATTCATAACCAATGCGGAAAATTACCAGCTTGGGAATCCTAAAGCCCACAATTAGCCAGTCACTCCTACTAGAATTGAACCTAAACCTATTTCTTCCCCATCCAAGCTTCTACAGCCTTCACACACTGAGAAAGAAATTTGAGAGCATCCTTCATTAGTTGATGTTGAGAGGTGCAGCTGAGTATCATCAACATATTGATAAAAACATTCAGCTATACCTCAACCCCTGGCTGACCAAGCATAATGTTGATACCTGATCTTGTGCCATTGGATAACTACAGATCAGTGGCTCCATAAAAATGTAAAATAGGAGTGGAGAGAAGCTGTGGGGTCCTGCAAAACAGAGCTTTTCAGCACCAACTGGAACCAATTCTGGAGAAAGGAAACTCATGCCCTGAGCCAGTCCAGAATGATGCTATGAACAATGTTATCTGAAGCTGGTGAGAAATCAAGGAAACATCTAGACTTCTTTACTCTGACATTAATGCTGTATTTAAAGCCATCAGCTGTATGATAAAATTTGGAAAGAGCTGTTTCAGAGTGCTGCCATGCTTCTGGGAACCCATACTTGCATGTAAATAGGTAAAGAGTAAAATGCATTTACCTAACATGTCTAAATGAAAATTTTACTTAAGATGAGTGTATAAGCTCTAACAAGAACAATACTAATATTCAAACCAATTTATTAAGAATTATGAATAAGAATAAAAATACAAGTTACAAAAAATATAAACAGTAAAATAGAAAAAGAAAAATAGAAAACAAACAGAAGTAACTTTTCCCTTCGTCTCAGCAAGTAAAAACAATGTTAATAGCTTATCACCATTTCTAAAAACAACAGTTACCCCTACCGAAGTTAAGCATATAATTCAATCCTTAAAGGCCGGGAAGGCCCCTGGAGAGGACTTGTTGCCTCCTGAACTCTTTAGGTCCAACATTGACTTCTGGGTACCGGTGCTGGTAGCACTGTTTACTTATATCGATAAAGTAGGGATAATCGCTGAAGGGTGGAGGTTAGCTATAGTTTTTCCAATTTTTAAGAAAGGTGACAGAGCTGCCCCATCCAACTACCGACCCATCAGTCTTCTTAATATAATTTCAAAAATGTATACGAAACATCTCCTAAATAAAATAGAGGACTGGTGCTTGGATAAGAAAATTCTGGCAAATGAGCAGGCAGGTTTTAGATCAGGTAGGTCTACCATAGACAATTGTTTTGTCCTTTCCCACTTAATTAATAAATACAAGACCCAGGGGAAAAAGCTGTATACCGCCTTTATTGACCTTACTGCTGCTTTTAATTCTATAGATAGGAACCACTTGTGAAGGAAACTACAAGTTATGGGGATGGACCCCAGACTTATTTTGTTGATCAGGATTCTCTATACTAATACGGCAATTAGAGTCAGATATGCAGCAAATGGGGCCTCAACAAACAGCATACCGACAACTAGAGGAGTGAGGCAGGGCTGCCTGCTGAGCCCTACTCTTTTTAACCTTTATATAAATGATATCCCAGCGCAGCTGGATGATCTTCTGACGCACAGCCCCCAAATAGGCTCTAGATTTATTAACGTATTAATGTATGCCGATGACTTAGTGTTGTTTTCTAGAACCCAAATAGGAATGAGGAGACTTCTTGACAAGCTCATACATTACTGTATTGCAAACCACTTGACTATAAATGTAGCTAAATCAAAAGTTTTAGTCTTTGGCAATAAGAATAAAAAGCACAATTGGCAGATTAATGACACAAAAATTGAGCAAGTTACCCAATATACTTATCTTGGAATTGTTTTTTCCAGTGCAGGAGGTTGGACTCCGCACCATCAATACCTTTCTCAAAAGGTCAGAGCAGGAGCAAGCCTTGTATTCAAATTAAGTAAACGAATCCAACCAACCTCCATTTTACCTCTTCGTAAAGTCTTTCAGGCTAAACTTGTTCCGATCATGCTCTATGGTGCTGAAATTTGGGGTCTTACAGAGGCCCCCATATTAGAGAAAACTCAAAATAATTTGTTAAGGAGGATGCTTGGGATAAACAATTCCACTTCAGCTGCAGCCGTCAGAGCTGAATTGGGACATTTCTCACTGTACACCTATACAATCACTAGGGCGGTAGCCTACTGGCTAAAAATGACCCAGATGGATGTCTAGAGGAACAGCAGATTTCAAATCCTCAAAGGTATTCCTGGCTAACCCGGCTGTCAGAAATATTGAACCGATATGGCGTAGGGTTCCCGTTGTGTGACACACTGAACCAAGTTAAACAACGGATTAAAGATATACATGGGCAAATGGACATGGCAACCCTTTCAACTAATCATTCCTTTAAACTGCTGACAGCAGTTAAAACAACTTTCACTCTGGAAAAGTATTTACATTTAGAAATGCCATCAGTGGACAGACAGTTATTTGTTAAGTTTAGATTCGAACTTCTAGATACCAATGTTAGATTCGGCCGTTATCGGAAAATCCCGTATGACAAAAGAATATGCATATGTGGGGTAAACGTCGTGGAGGACACGGCGCATATAATATTCGAATGTAGTCTCTATCAAGAAGTAAGAAAACAATATCTGTCCCCAATTATAAATAAATTTTCCCACTGGAATATAAGCCAAAAATTAGCATTTCTGTTGAGGGCTGACTCTCCTCCCCTGGTAAGAGCGATCACTCGATACCTTAAAAGAATGACGAGCCAGTTATATCAAAAAAATTTTTATCGATTGTAAGGAAGATGAGCTCAGTTAGAGAGGAGCTATCCTATTTGGGTTATCTAGTCTTGGCAACTTAGCTATTGAAATTTGATATTGTAAAATTTTAATGTCATCTATCATATATTTTTAGATTGCTATTTTTGTAACTGTTTTATCTTTTTCCCTTTTTCTTTTCTGTTTTGTTTGAAAAGGCCTTCGGGCTATTCAATAAACTATACTATACTAAAAACAACATCATCTGATTAATGGTTTTGTATTAAATATCAAATTTGGATGTATGTGTATTTGTGTATGTGTGTGTGTGTATAATTTAAAACTCTTATGACTCAGTCTAAAACACCATGCTGATTGTGTTTTAAAATGTATGTAAATAAACTTATGAATATATAGTATATAAGCAATATCAAATCTCACTGAATTAAGTGAAGTTTAAACATTTGAACTGTGCATAGATCTGCAGCATTTAACAATATTGTGTGTATGTGTATTGCTATAATTTATAATTTTCTCAATACTGCCTTTTTTTTTAGCAATTTACTTGCAATAAAAATAGTTTTGAATGCAGTTTTACAACCCCAGCTATTAAGATGGAGAAAGGATCTAAGATTATTAACATTATTCTTAAAGTTGAAAATATTAATATATCTTGCGGTGACTTTCAATATTATCCTGATCCTAAATTTATTCATTATGAACTAATAACTGATTTGGAACCTGACCTGGAATTGAAAATACATGTAAGTTGTGAACTTTTAAGTTCTTTGTCTTAAAACTTCCCTTTTAAACAATTTTCATTGTTTAAATTTTACTGCATGATTCATTCTATTTTTTTTCATTTCTCTAGAAAAAGAAAGACAATTTAAGTCTTTCTAGACATGAACTTGAAGTTTTCATATCTGATAAGAATCTGATCAACATAACATTCAGTGTCCAAAATATTTCAAAAACAGCTACTCGTAGCATAATACATTGTAGAGCTAAACAGGAAAAAAACCTTACCAGGAAGATTAATAAATCAAGCATGAAAGTTTATGTGAGTAAATATTGATTATATATATATATATATATATTAATTTGTTAAGTTTGTATTATTAAATTTTGGTCTTACAAATATTTCTCTGAATTTGTAAATCATATCATATTGATACTTCAAAATTAGATTTTTTATGTCTTCTTTCTGGAAACAGTCCTTGGCATTATGTACATATAGATAGAATTACACAGCTTTCAATGTGAGTAATCTAAGCATTTGAATCTAAGCATTCTAGAATCTAAGCATTCATCTAATCTAAAACTCTAACCTGTGCATAGTCAAATCCAAAGCAGAAAAGTACTTTGGATCTGATGTGGATGCATGTATTGTATTTGTCAGCCGCACCTTAGAGAATCTGGAACTCTTCCTGGCTCATCTGAAATATACATGTTGGCTAGTATGGTCCATGGAAAATACACATTTAGGATTTTGGATTTTCAGGGGCTATGCAGCACTGTGGAAGGTCAGGAAAAAGTGTGACCTGTTTTAAGTTCTGTTAACAAATACAGCAAGTGTGCCTACACTGATTCCAGGGCATTTTTCATGTTTTGGATCAAATGCTGCACATCTCTAAAATGAAGTTATACCTTCTGCTTTTCTCTCAGAGTTGCAGTGTCAATGCAATTTCTCAAACTGGGAAGTGTCTCTAGCATTTTTTTTTTAATTCAAGATTTTTGTCAGTTGAGAATAATATTTCAGATGCTGCATGAATGCACATAGCAATAAATTAATCTTATGGGAGCAGGATTCCATGAGCAAGCTCTGTTTTACTTAGAACATGTCTACATATTCCATACCAATGGAAATAAATTTCAGATCCTTTGTAACTTCAGTGTTGGAAAATGTTGATTTATTTCTGCCTCAGTTATTTATCTTATTTTGATTTTTATACCATCCTTCTTGTTGCAATATTTTCAGGATCAGACTCAATAAGATTAGCAAGAGTTAAAGGTTTAACTATATATTCTTTTATTTACAATAGGCATTCTATATTCACTGAATATTCACAGATAGAAGCAAGGGAAAGGATGTAGGTAGCTCCTTATATATACAATGGGTGGAGCTATATGTGGGAGTGGTGAATTATGAATACATTAAGAAGTGAAGAATAAGTTAACCCCTGATACCCTGTTTGTACACTATTTACACATTAGAGAATAAGGCATTTACATCTGACAAATCCCCCTCTAAATGCCGATTCGTTATACAGCACCAGTTACACTCAGATTCAGGACAATACAAAACATACAACTTAGAGGTTAAATATTTGTGCTGCTTAGAAGGTAAAGGCTTTGTCAATATATCAGCTAATTGTTCTGAAGTATCGCAATGCACTGCTTTAATAAATCCATCCTGAGATAATTGTCTCACATGTTTAAATTTTATATCTATATGTCTGGACCTTTGTCCAATAGCATCAGATCTAGATATTTCAATGGCTGCTTTATTGTCTTCATGCATAACAAAAGGTAAAGCAGGTTTTTTCCAAACATCTGAAATTAAATCATTAAACCATACAAGGTTATTTGCGGCTTTGGATAAACAAACATATTCCGCTTCAGTCGTTGAAGTGGCCACTAGTTCTTGTTTACCAGTGTACCAGTAAACTGGACAGTCATTTAAGAGAAATACATAACCAGATGTGCTTTTTCTGCATGAGATGTCTCCAGCCCAGTCTGCATCTGCATAACACGTAAGCTTTGGTTCTTTATTATCATTAGGTTCTAACATTAAACAAAAGTCTAGTGTACTTTTTAGATATCTTAAAATTCTTTTAACAGCTTCCCAGTGATACATTGTTGGTTTGCTGACATGCCTGGATAATAAATTGAGTGGTAAAGCGATATCTGGTCTAGTCCAATTAGATATATAAAGGAGTGAACCTATGATTGATCTATAAAATGTGTTGTCCTTGAATTCGGGAGAAGATTCATCAGTATTTCTTAGAAAGTCAGTTTGCATAGGAGTATCACAAGGTTTGGCATTGTTTAAATTGCATTTATTTAAAAGTTCTATGATCTTATCTCTCTGAGTAAGTTTGAATCCCCTTCTAGTCTTATTAATTTGAACACCAAGATATTTGTTTACTTTGCCTAGGGATTTTAACGAGAAATGTTCATTTAGCTTAGTTACAAAAGTTTCTCTTCTCTCTTTATGTTTTCCTATGTATAAAATGTCATCCACATAAATCAATACAAATTCAATGTAATCATCACCCCTCTTGACAAAGAAACAATTATCAGCAGTGGTAGCGTTGAAGTCCATGGTCTTAAGTACTTTTACTAAACAATCATACCACCGTTTACCAGATTGTTTTAGCCCGTATAAACTCTTGTTTAACAACCAAGTCTCATTTCTGTTTGTGTATTGACTGTGGGGTGCTCTTACGTATATTTCCTTATCTAGTTTTGCGTGTAGGTACGCAGTCTGTATGTCATATTGGAATACATCAAGATTGAGTGCTGATGCTACCACTAGAGCTGTTTTGACACTCTCTGTTCTTACAGTGGGGGAATACGTGTCAGTATAGTCCTCCGGATATTTCTGTGCATAACCCTGTGCAACTAATCTAGCTTTGTATAGAGTATTGCCTCCCTCTAAATTCTTAATTTTATATATCCACCTGGTACCAATAATTGTTTTATCTTTAGGTGCAATTGCAGGTGTAAATACATTTAATCCTTGTAAACTTTCCATCTCTTTCTTCATTGCTAATTCCCATTTTTCTTTTTCTTCGCGAGGAAGTTTTAGCACTTCCTCATATGTATTAGGTGTTGTTGGTTCACCATCCATGTGCATTACATAATCCTTGTATTTATTTGACATTTGATTTCTGGTGCTTCTAATGATTTTTTCGGGTTTACTATCGTTATCATGCAAATATCTTGCTTCCTTTTTTGTTAGTGTGTCTGTCTTTATTTTGTGTTGGCTATTTGTCCAAGTCTTGGTTTTGTTTTTATATTTGTTGATATTTTGCTTTTCTATAGTCCCTTTCTCGTGAGATTTTGTATCTTTATATTTATTTGGGAATATTTCATTAAGATGTAATTTAGACCAGTTGGCTTGTTCATGGAACACAGCTGTTCTGGAGACTATAAATTTGTTATTACTATCAATGAATCTGTACCCTTTAGTGCCAGTCTCATATCCCATAAATCTGAGTCTTCTGGACACGTTCTCTCCCTTTCTTCTTAATTGTTTAGGTATGTGTACGTCTGCTGTGACTCCAAATATATGCATGTGTGCTAATTTTGGTTTTCTATTATACATCACTTCATATGGTGTCTTATCTACAATGCTGGACCATGTTCTATTTTGTGTGTAATTTGAATAATGTAAGGCTTCTGACCAGAATTGTTTGCTTAAGCCAGCATCTTCCAATGTGCATCTAATCATGGTTTGTAATGTGGAATTCTTCCTCTCTGCAATCCCGTTTTGGAACGCAGAAAATGGACTAGATGTGTAATGTAACATTCCTTTGTCTTTTAACCATTGGGAGAATTCTTTAGACATGAATTCGCATCCTCTATCTGTCATAATTTGTTTTATTTTGATGTTGTGTTGTGTTTCTATGCGTTTGTAAAATTCTTTAAATTTTTGAAATGTTTCATCTTTGTGTTTTAATGTATAAACAAATCCATAGCGGCTATAATCGTCCACTATTGTCAGGAAGTAACGTTTTCTATAAGTGATTGATGGAGTTAATGGACCAACTAAGTCCATGTGTACTAAATCAAAAATTTTGTTAGTTGATCTAGTAGATTTTCTTGGCCTGGGACTAGTTTTTAGTTTTGTAGATTTACATACTGAGCATTCCAAATAGTTTTCACAATTTTTTATTTTAACACCTTCTGCGTGTTCAGTCATTTTTTGTACTACAGGAAAACTGGCATGTCCTAACTTCCTATGTAAGATGTGAGCACACTCATCATGAATTGGCTTACCTATTTTTGGTTTTTTTTCATTGTGTGCATCTATGTGATCATGAGATATTTTACATTCATCATTATCACTGTTGCTAATATTTTCATCATCTACTTCAATACAATCTCCCATATTTGAATCAATGTTATGCAGCCATTTTTCCTTTGTTATCAGATAAGGTAGGCCTCCTTTAATCATCACAGTGCCTATATTTATTTTATTCTTCTCCAAAGTCGCTTTTCCTTTTGAAAAAACAATGTTAATGTCAGAATCTCTACTTAGTTTTATGGCACTTAGTATGTTATGAGGTATTTCAGGTATTAGCAATACCCCCTCTATTTTTCCTAGACCAGGCAGGGTTACATTCCCTCTACCTAATACTTGAACCTTTTCTTGGTTAGCTACCTTTATTACAAATTTATCTTCTGTAAATGAAGACAATATATTTTTGTTATTAGTGGTGTGATTAGTTGCTCCAGAATCAATAAGCCAATTATTGTTCTCATTTTGCTGTATGTTAGTGTTGTCTTGTTTATTTAACCCATTCAGTGAACCAGATTTTCTATCCTTTGAATTATCTCTGCCCCCTCTATTCTCTTTGTAATTTGGTGGGCTTCTATATCTATGTCTATCTATGGAAGACTGTCTATAATTGTATTTGTTTCTATATTCTGACCTATGTCTTTCCTTTGAAATTTTGGGGCAATCTCTTCTATTGTGTTCCCTGGATCCACAATTGTGACATTTAAATGTTTCATTATATTTTTCTTGGAAAGCTACTTTCCTATATGATTTGTGTTCTGTGTGATTGTTAGAACGATTTCTTCTTGAATTGTCTTCTGCTATCAATTTATTGGATAGACTTTCTATGGATAAGTATCCTAGATTGATTGTGTCTAAATGTGACATAAAATTGTCCCATGATGGATCAAGTGAGTTGATAATAACACTTTTCATTGTTTGGTCTGAAATCACCTCCCCCCTCAAATGCAGCTCAGCTCTTATTTTGTTTAAAGATATTAAATGCTCACTTATGGAAACCCCTGGTTTTATCCTAGATGAAAAGAAATCTTTAG